GAAACTCTAAGAAAGTTTCAAAACTCTTCGAAAGAGCTGTTTGAAAAATCTGACTGTTGGACCCAAAGTATCAAAACTTTAATGAAAGTTTTGAAACTCTTGAGATAGTTTTAAAACTATAGGAAAGTGTCGAAACTTTTTGGGCTTCTGTCTTGGAAAGTTTCGAAACTCTTGTAGAAATTTCGAAACTTCTTGTCAAAGCTTGTTTAAAAGAATAGTTTTTAACATTTTGAGAAATATAAGACTTTGAAAATGATACTAAAGTATTTGAAAGGTATTTTTAATATAATTTGAACTTAAAAGACTCATATTAAAGTTTTGAAAAAGTTTAGAAAAAGTTTAGAAAACATTAAACACGTATCTTTCAAATTTATTTGGACTTTGAATAAATTAAATTTAGTCCAACAAACATTTTGTCCTTTTTTGTTATATCAAAATATAACTTCTACAAGAAGCCTATGTAAACGGTAAAATTCAATTGGAAGATGCACTTTCGTTTTTTTAGTTGCCCTACGTTTATGACGATTACGAATATAATAGATGGTATTGTGATGATTACGAATATCATGATCATGTAATAACGGTTGTGGATGGCACTGTTACTGTTATATAACGGGCGCTATTGAAAATAAGATGAAATGCCATCAGCTTCGCTTCCCATGTAAGCTTCCAATGCATAAAGTTCTGCAATCCAACACGGGTCATCATGAACATTATAACTTCTACCGTAGGTCTTTTCAGAGCTGTCTCGGATATTTTTGGGGTCTTGAGCGAAACTAAAACATAATCCTTTATAAAACGAAAGTATATTATATTACTTTGAACAATTAATTTAATATTACATTAATAAATCATAAAAATGATTAAATTAAGGGCTTAAACTATAAAAGCAAATAGTATGATTGGAAAATTTTAGGGACCTCAATTTTAAAGGTTAAAAGTGAGATTGAAAAAAATTAGGGGCCTAAATTATACAAGTAAAAAATGAGATTGAAAAAATTAGAGGCCTCAGTTATAAAGTTAAAAATAGAGATTAGGGGTGTCAATTGAAAAGGTAGAAAGTGAGATTGAAAAATTAGGAGCTCAATTATAAAGGTACAAAGTGGGATTGAAAAACTTAAGGTCATCAATTATAAATGTACAAAAGTGGGATTGAAAAAAATTAAGGGCCTCAATTATAAAGATAAAAATTAAGATTACAAAATTTAGGGACTTCAATTATAAAGACAAAAATATAATAAAAAATTAGGAGCCCTATAAAATATTGGACCCTTAGCAGTTGCTCAGGGTACACCCCTAATAGTCGGCCCTAAGTCTCTTGGATCTCATTAATCACATTTAGGGTTGACCAATGAAATTGAGAAAATAAAAAATTGATCCAAATCAAGTTATACGGTTTGGTTAGGGTTTTCATTTTATGATTTGGTTTAAAAAATATAATTATATAATTTGATTTGATTTCGATTTTTCATATGAAAAATGTTTGTTTCGTATCGAATTGAATTAGAAAAATAAAAGAAAATAATTATCCAAAATAAATTTATTTTGAATTTATTATAAGATAAACTTAATTTAAATAAAGTCTTAAAACTAATAATTTAATTTATAAATTTAAATTTATATATTTGCACTCGATTTAAGCTTTAAGTTTGCTTTATTTGGAATCTGAGCTTGAAAAATAATAAACAATAAAAAACCACAAAATCGAACCAAACCAAAAATTGTAATTCTTATGTCATTCGATTTCGATTTCAGTTTTTAAAAGAATCCACAAAATGTGTTTCAGTTCATATTTTATTGAATAATCGAATCGAATCAAATCGAATCAAATCAAATTGAATACACCCCTACTTCCATCCATGAAGTCCATCATCTCATCTTGCAAGTTCTATAGATAAAAGAATCAAATATCACTAGCAAAATAAGTTTTTTTATAGTGGAAAATAATGTTAGTATTAATAAGGCTGCTGCAAAACAACATAGTTAGTATTAACTAATAAATAATAGTGAAATAATAAAGATAAGTACCATGGTAAAAGTCATTGTCTTTAAAATAATTTCGTTTGGATGGATGATATCTCGAAATGGGCATTAACCCCAAGATTAACATAGCCTTCCAAATCTCGTACATCCAAAGTGAGGAAGTGAAACTCGTTTGTCTTTCACTCTTCAACCTCACCTATTTAACAAAAAAAAAATCAACTCTCTCAACAAAACAATTTATTTTTCTATACTTATCCCTATCATCTATCCCTACATAATATAATTCAATTTTTAATAAATAATTAATATCCTTACCTAGGCTTGTAAATGAGCTGAACGTTCAGCGAACCGTTCATGAACCGTGCGGCGAGAAGTTCGTTTATGTTCGTTTATTTATTAAATGAACGAACATGAACAAGATTTTGCGTTCGTTTAATTAAATGAACGAACACGAACAAATGGCTCGTTTGTTCATTTATGTTCGTAAACGTTCGATTATATGTTCATTTTTGTTCGTTCATTTATGTTCGTTCATTTATGTTCGAACAAAGGGCAAGTTGAATATGTTACGAAGATTATTGAAGTTGTTTAGATTTCAAAAAGATTGTTTTGTTGAACAAATTAACTTTAAGACTTTATTATGTTCATATAGCTTATTTATGATTTACGTATGTTTTTGTCGTATTCGAACAAATTAAGTCTAAAGTTCCAGGTTATATTAATGAATTTTAAGTTATTATTCGTGTTGTTTACTTTTTTTACATTCATTTGTTGTGTTCGAATAAGTTTATTTTTTGTGTTTGTGTTGTTCGTTTATGTTCATTTATTATGTTCGTTCGTTTTTGTTCGTTTGTTTGTGTTCGTTTATGTTCCTTTATTATTTAAATGAACGAACATGAACAAAATTTTTTTTGTTCATTTATGTTCGTGTTCATTTATGTTCGTTTATTATTTAAATGAACGAACATGAACAAAAATTTTTTTGTTCATTTATGTTCGTGTTCATTTATGTTCGTTTATTTATTAAATGAATGAACATGACATACCTCCGTTCGTGTGCGTTCGATTCGTTTAGGCCTATCCTTACCCTTTATTCTCAAACCCCATGCATCTGGCCTGCCTCAACTATGCTTGCTTTGCTGTTGCACCTGTTGGCTCATGTTGCTGCCTTTGTATGAAACAATAATATTTTTTTTATGAATAATGAAGATGGATTGTAAAGTAAACCTCTACACTATTTTTTAGAACAGTGAAGACGGGTTGTACACACACCGTCCACACTACATCAATGAATTTTTTTATTGAACAATGAAGACGGGTTATAAACTTACAGTCTCTAATTTTTATTAAAAAATAAAATGAACAATAAAGACATATTGCGGTCAAAACATTTTTCATTTACTGTTTAAAGTGTCATATATTAAAAAATAAATTAACATTTGTTATATTTTGAAAAAAAAATTATAATTATAATATTCGAGTAATTTACTAGATAGAAAATTTTTTTTGTACATGATGTGGAAAAAGATATCAATTAAAAGATAATTATAAATGAACAAGGATATTTAAAATATACTAAGGGTGCGTTTGGTTCACGGAATGTAAGATTATTAGTGGGAGTAAAAGATTACCAGGGAATAGGATTACTGAGAATGTTGTATTTTGTGTTTGGTTGGTTTAGCAGGAATGTAAGATTATTGTGTTTGGTTAAAGGAATAAAAGATTATTAGAATGTATATTTGACCAAATTGTCTTTATTATATATTTGTTTTTTTTTAACAAGTTGAAAAATATTTATATATTTTCTTTAAAAAAATTAAATTCATAAAATTTATATAGTTTTTTTATAAAATTAAAAATATAAAAAAGTTTAATGAAAGAGTAAAATTTTATTTTAACCCCTGAACTTCATATAATATTTTAATTATAGATTTTTTTTGTAAATCTAAAATAGTTTAAGGATAAATTTGTAATTTAACTTTCGTAGAATTTTTATTATTCAATGATAGAATAAGAATATTTTTGAAATAAATTTTTTTTAAGGGCATTTTAGTCTAAAACACTAGTAATCCAACAATACTTAAGGAAAGGGAGGTAATGACATTCCCGATAATATACCCCAAAAAATCCACTATTAGTAATGCAAGATTATCGGGAATGACATTCCCGACCAACTAAACGGGAGAATTTAGATTCTATTCGCATGAGAATCTCACATTCCCCCAACCAAATACACCCTGAGAAACATAGGGGTGAGGAACACCCTAAGAAACATAGGGGTGAGAAACACCCTACGATTACTGACACCTAGGGATGGGCATCAGACCCGAACCCGATGGGTTATGACCCGACCTAATCGGGTCATATTTTTTAAAAACATTCGGGTTCAGGTCGGTTGGGTTTTTTAAGTATGATGTTAGGGTCGAATTCGGATTTAAGGTGAAAAATACCCAACCTGACCCGACCCGACTCGACCCAAAAAAAATTATTTTATATATTTAAGAATAATTACAATAATACCCCTCTATAAATAATTTTTTTTCAATTAAGTCACTGTTTTGAATGAATAAAAATAATATTTTTTTATTATTTGGAGTCGGATCGAATTTTTAAGTTATATATCAGGTCAGATTCAGGTCGGGTAAAATTTTATTTTAGTCGGATAGACCATCACCCGACCCGATCTGATTCAACCGATTCCCATCCCTACCGACACCCTCGGTTGTTGCCTTTATGTTTTTTAAAACCTAAAAACCCTAGATATGCTCATTCCCATGAGGATCTCCACGTCCGCCCCCAACTTCATCTTCTTCGTCGTCTCTTTGTAAAAAAATAAAATAAACAACTACTTGACAAACCCTCACCCTCTGACTGAGAATCTGTCGCATCACTTTTTAATAATGTTTGTCCCTTTCCTCGTTCATCCTTTTCTTCCATCTCACTTCTCTGAAACTTTTTCAATTTCCTCATTCAAAATCATCAAGCTCTGTAACTAACCATCCTTTGTTGTTATATATAAAAAACCCCACCAAGTAGCAACTCCCAGTCGCTTTGATTTGACTTGAAAATTAATACCCAAAGCGATGTTTCCTTCTTCTGCTTCGTCTCCGATTGTTTACTCTTTGATCCTCTTTTGTTCTCTTCTCTTTCTTTTCCTGTTTGCTCCTCGAATCATTCCTCGCGGGAACCGCCACCCGGAACGGCTGATCTCGGTTCAAGATGAACTCGACGATCTTCGTCTTTTCCGTGAAGCGGTGTCCACGGCCACCGCTCGCGGCGGTTCTTCGAAGATTTCCCATCTGGGTACTATTAACCCAAAGCCCAAAATCGCGTTTCTTTTCCTCACCAACTCGGATCTCGTGTTTGCACCTTTATGGCAACGATTTTTTGAATCCTCAAACGATGATCTCTTCAATGTCTACATCCATGCGGATCCGGCTACCAAAATCTCGACCCCGGAATGGTTAATAAAAGCCAATTTCATCCCGGCTAAAACCACCGCACGCGCCTCCCCGACGCTCATCTCCGCGGCGCGGAGACTCATGGCAAACGCCATCATCGACGATCAGTTCAATCTGTACTTCGCATTGGTATCCCAGCACTGTGTCCCTCTCCATTCCTTTAAATTCGTTTACACTTCCCTTTTCGGAAACCCTTCATCGGCGCACAAAACGTTTTTGACCCAAGGTTCTCTGAAAAGCTACATCGAGATCTTATCGGAGGCGCCGTTTTTGCACAACCGGTACGTCGCACGGGGCGACGGCTCGTTGCTGCCGGATATTCCGTTCGATAAATTCCGGGTCGGGTCTCAGTTCTTCGTGCTGGCAAAACGGCACGCTTTGCTTGTGTTGAGAGAAACGAAATTGTGGAGTAAATTCAAGGTCCCTTGTTTGGATTTAGATTCTTGTTACCCTGAAGAACATTATTTCCCCACGTTCTTATCAATGGCGGATCCCAAAGGGAGCAATCGTTACACGTTAACTAGAGTTAATTGGACTGACAGTGTCGACGGTCATCCGCATACGTACCATCTGCCGGAGATCTCGCCGGAGCTTATACGTACGCTGAGGAAATTGAATTCCGGTTCGAGTTATTCGTATTTTTTTGCCCGGAACTTCTCGCCGGATTGCTTGAAGCCGTTGATGGAAGTCGCCGACGATGTCATTTTCAGAGATTGAACCGAGTCTGGTAAGCACCTGCTCACTTTTAAATATTATTTGGCCGAGTTAATCTGATTTAGAGATTGAGTTGAGTGATCTGTTTTAGTTGGCGAGTTGAACGAGTCCCCATGATTTCGGGGTCTAATTGCAAACTGGTAGTAAAGTCCAATTTAGTACAAATAAAGGCTTAAACTAAAAATATACTTTAACTATATATTTTGTAAGTTTCTAAATTATTTTTTTTTATCAAAATAAGTCTCTAAACTATATTACTTTTGCATTTTAAACCTCGAAAATATCTTTTTGGTCAAAAAAGTATTTAATTTTGATTTTATGTGACGTGTCAACATCTTATTGGTCAAAACATAAATTTTTAATTAGAAAAATATTAAAACTTAAAATAATTAAATATAATAGTTTAAGGACCTAATTTGATAGGAAAAACTATTATATTTAATTATTTTAAGTATTTAAAGGGAAAACATAATTTAGGTATTTACTTTTACTTATTTATATCATCATCATGATAATGCTCTTGATTTATTTGGGTATGTAGACATGAATTGCTTACCTATCTTTAATTTTGGATTAGGTTTAATATTAATGATATCATTTGGTTCAAATTAATATCATGTGTTTCATCACACACCGATATAAATAAATTTTTGGTTGATCCGAATCTGATTCGACACTATAACAATAAAACCCGACTCAATTTAAGTTTAAAAATATTTTTATCTTCTTTCAATCTAACTTGAAAATTTCATTAAAATTTTGACTCTCCTTGACTTGATTTAACATATATTTCAATTTTTTGCATTATTTTAATCAAAATATGAAATAATCAAATGAAATATTAAATTATTTAATTTAATACAAAATTAAATTAAATTTTAGTTTATTACCATAGTTCCACTGCTTTATAGGATATTTTTTATACGTATATTTATCAAAACCTAATTGATAATGTATAAATACATTAAAAACATATTTTCATAATTATTTTGGGGGCAGAACTAGTTCTTAAACTTAGATTTGATTTGATTTGATCAAGTTTAAGAAAGAAAATGGTATAATGTCAAAATTAGCCTCCCAACATTTATCAAAATAATTATTTTGTTTTAGTATTTTGGCCCTCAATATTTAATTTTAGAGTAGATTTTTCTTAACTTTTGATTAAATAGTTATTTTGACTTTTATTTTTTTTGTAGTATTTTTGCTCTTAACGTTTTATTTTATGATAAAAAGGCCCTAGTTTAGAGAGTTAATCGTTTGTCAACTAAAGATTTTTATCTATAGAGAGATTTCCCCTCAAAGATAAAATGTTAGGGTCAAAATGTTTTAAAAAAAGAATAAAGATCAAAGTAACTATTTAATAAAACGTTAGGGACATATTTAGATATTATGCCAAAAAATCTGATTCAAAACCTAAATTTTAAAGAAAACCCAATCCAATATATCCGTGAAGTAGGAATTGTTTTGTCATCCTAAGTATGTTTTGGAAAGTGTATTGGGATCTATGTAGGACACAACACAGGGTTTCAAAGGTACAGATTTGTCTTCAACCCCCAATACAGAGTTTACTAACCCTGGATCCAGGGATGGACAGATGGTGTGTTTGGAATTTTTAAATTCTTTTATATTTTAGATTTTATCTTTGTATTTTTATTGAATATCTGATTTCATACTCCTTAAAATTTTATAATTTCTCGCTATCTAAATTTTTTAATATAATTGTTTAAGTTCGCATCCTCTGAAATAAATATTTTCTTCAGACCCTTCCTGTGTTTAAGTTGTTTTGTATGGTATTGGAAGATGCCAACATTTCGGGTTAGAAAATGTTTGATGTTTGCGTGAAATGAAAGGTATTGATGCCATGTGATTGGTTTCAGGTTGAAGAACATGCAAGGCGTTCGACTTTGAGGAACAATGGTGCTGCTCTTTGTCTTCTCTTGTGTACATAAATTTGGGTTTTTTTTTTATGTAAGAGTTTAATTGGGAAAGGTGGGCAAAGAGTGGAGTTAGTGGAGAGAGAAGCAAAGGATAAGGCTTTAAGTAATATATTATTAATTGTTGATTTTGAGGTCATTACTTGTGACCTTCTCCCATTTGCCCCTTTACTTTCCACCTAAGCAATGCTTCTTCAATTGTAATTATATGTATTATCCTTGCCTGAGAGTTCACAATGAAATCTCTCTCTTCTTTAATTTCCCTTTTTTTTTCTAAAAATAAAGATCAGCTACCCCATATAGGGGTGTGCAAATCCGGGGACCCGGATTTGCGGGTATCCGAAACTTTCAGGTCGAAGATTTTTCGGCCCGTGTTCTGACCCGAATATTATGGGTACCCGGTAATCGGGTATCCGGATTTTGCGGGTACCCGGTAATCGGGTACCCGATACCCGGTTTTTAATTTTTAATTTTTAAATTATTAATTTTAAAAAATATATATACAAATTTAAATGTTCGAAACTTCGAATTACATACTCTAATATCCGAACATAAAATTTAAAAGTTCAAAATACAAAATATAATAATCCATAATATAAATAATTCATTATATTTTATATAATTATATATAAAAAAATAAAAACTAACCGGGTACTCGGGTAACCGGGTATCCGGAAAAACTAGATTTTGTGACCCGGGCCCGACCCGAGAAATGTCGGGTAATTTTTTTTAGAGAATTACCCGGATTTTTTAGATATGAGTCGGCGGGTCAGGTCAACCGGGTCGGGTAATTTTACACACCCCTAACCCTATATATGTATAGGGCTAGGGCTAGGTGTAAAATATAGTTATGGATGGCCTAGATACTCAAACTCGACGGATTCGATTTGATTCGACATTATTAAGTTGGATTTTTAAAAAGAAATCAGATTCGAGTCAGGTTGGTTTAGCTCAGGTTTAAGGTGAAAAATATTCAACTCGACCTGAAAATAATTTGTAATTTTACCTTATATATTTATGGATAATTGTAATAAGATTCCTCTAAATATTTTTTAATTAAATCTATATTTTTATTAAATAAAAATAATATTTTTTTATAAATATATTATTTTGGGTCGGTTTGGGTTTTATCTCAAAAGGGTGGGTGGGTTTGGATCGGTAGAAGGTGTATAATTTTCGGATCAAATTGGGTTAACTGAAAATCGACCCACACCCATCCCTATAAACCGACCCAAAACGACATGCTTGCTTGTGTTGAAAGATAGGAAATACAAGGTCCCTTGTTTGTATTCAGATTGCTGTCTCCCTTAAGAACATTATTTCCCTACATTGTTACCAATGGAGGATCCCGAAGGAAGCAACCATTGCACGTTAATGAGAATTAATTGGACTGAAAGTGCCCATGGTCATCCACAATCCACATACACTTATTGAGAAAGTCGAGTTCAACTTATTCTTGTTATTTTATATATTTTCTTCGTATTTTCTATTAATAATATATTTCTGTCTTTTAAAATTTTATAAGTTCGTCTCTTTATAAATTTGTTCCTATAATATAAAATCTTATGTCATTCCCGGTGATTTGAAACAAGGTCCATGATTTTAGGGTTTAGTGGCAAGTTGGAAGCTAGTGAAGTCCAATTAAAAGAAAAACAACCTACCTTTTGTTTTTGAAAAAGGATCGCCCGGGCTTTATTAATAAAACAAAAGGAACAAATAATAAATAGGCGATTTTATTTGAATAACATGGTTTCATTCTTTATTAATAAATTGGCAATTTTATCATGATAGTGCCTTAACTATCGCTTTTATTTCGTTTTGATTCCCCAATCATTTTTTGTTTTAATGTCATATCTAACGTTACGTTTTGGTTTCATTTTGATCAACTACCGTTAAAACAATTAATGCTGATGCTAACATGTCACTATAAGATAATGACATGCCATCATTGATTTTTTTTTTAAAATATCACGTGAGTAGTTTTGTTAATTTATAACGGTGGATGACCAAAATGAAACAAAAAAATATGTTTAGGTATGATTTTGAAAAAAATAATAGTTGGCCAAAACAAAACAAAAGTAATAATTAGAATACTAAACTTATAATTTATCCTTTTTTATTTACTATTATTTAAAAAATAATACTCTTTTGATAAAGGTGTGTCACATAGGTTGTGTTTTTCAAAACAATATATATATATATAATTTCAAGTGCTCGCAGCACTAAGGATCAAAATGAAAGACTCGTTATTTTGTAGATCAAAATCTCTACCATGTCAATAGAATTGTACCCTACAAAATACATATTGTATGAAATAGGGTAAACTACACAGGTGACCACTCAACTATGGTCAAAAATCATTTTGACCACCGATGTTTTGATTTGATCAATCAGACTACCCAACTATTTATTAATTATAATTTAATATTGTATATAACTATTAAATTATAATTAATAGATAAAATTAAGAATTATTTATTCAATTAAAAAATATAAACTATGAAAAATATAAATTATAATTAATAAATAAAAGTCAAGAGTTGTTTTTTGTATTAAAAAATTTAAAAAATATAAAAATATATTGTAAATAGTAGTTTAGAGATAAAAATTAAGAATTATTTCTTCCATTAAAAAATTAAAAATATATAAAAATGTTGTAAACTATAGTTAATAAGTAAAATTAAAAAAAATATCTCTTCCATTAATAATAATTAAAAATACATAAAAATATTATAAATTAAAGTTAATAAATAAAAATAAAAAATCATTTCTTCCATTAACAAAAATTAAAAATAAAAAATATTATAAATTATAATTAATAAGTAAAAATTAAGAATTATTTTCTGCATTAATAAAAATTTAAAACTTAATAAAATTATATTTAAATATGTGACTGGACTAAGTAATTTCATCTTTGTTTTGAATTTATGTGTCTTCCAATTTGCATTTTTACTTCTTGTTTCCTGACATTAACTGGATTAGCTATATAAAATATGTTTTAATCCACAAACAAATGGAGTGGTTCAGGCGTCCATTAGAACTTGACGGTCTGATAGTGACATATGTTATCATCTAATTAGAGTTTAAATTTATTTTAATTAAAATAAATTATATCTAAATTGATAGAATATGTAAATCACAATGAGTAAATATAGAATTATACCAAGTTTTTTAACTGCAACATCATATCCTCTATTAAAACTTGACGGTCAGTGTTTGATTGAAGCATTTAAATAGTTGAGTGGTATGATTGATCAAATCACAATATTAGTAGTCAAAATGATTTTTGACCATAATTAAATGGTGACCCGTGTAGTTTACCCCATAAAATATAATGTAGGACTCATATTTATTAAAATAACGTTATTTTCATAAATATTTTATTTTGAATAATATTATTTATATTAAAAATATCCAACAAATGTCTCGGAACGGAACCAATGCTCTAAATAAGAACTAAATTTGCTTAGATGTAACAATCCATGAACTTGTGTTTTTAGATTTCACATTGATTGTGTTTTATTTTGGTGTAGTTACATATTCAGTCTCTATTCTGAGTCGTATCTGAATCTGGGTAGGAGGGGCACATGCTCATGACTCGAAATTATACTTGAAAAAAAAGTTTTATATTAGTTATAGGGCTCAATTATTTTTAATATTTCTTATTAGGGTTCGATTTTTTGTTAATATTTTTCTAAGATTTGTTATTAAAGGCCTAATTTTCAATACTTGCTATTAGAGGTCCAATTTTTTCAATGTTATCATAAGTTTGTTTTTAAAATTTAATTTCTTTTTAATATTTATTTGTTGTTATGAGTACACTTTTTTCAATGCTTTTTGTTAGAGGTCCAAATTTTTTATTATTTGTTATTACGATTCACTCTTAAAATTTACTTTTTTTAATATTTGTTACTAGTGACTCTTTTTTTCTAATACTTGTTATTATGGATACACCCTTAAATTTTATTTTTTTAACACTTGTTATTATGATCAATTACTTAAATAACGATTTATAACCACAACAATGACTGTTATGTGGTGATAACGATCCAAAAATGCGATATCCACAATAGAATATGTTATTAAAAATTCACAACCATGATACTTGTAGTGACTGCAATATCATCAGTTATGTGCACAATAGAGATAAACGTAATCCGACTGAAGATATAAATACAATTAAATCTCTGATTATGAGTCTAATTTTTTTTACCTAGGACTACCAAAATCTCAGAAACGACCGTCTCTGTTATTATAATTTCCAAACTAATGAGTCCTCTTAGCATAATTAAAATTTCTTTTGAAAGAACCTTTTTAATAGTTTAGACAGATAAGAAATGACTTAATTTTCAAAAAGTTCAATTTATCAAAATTAGGTGCAACAAATGTTTGAAATTGTGTCTTGGGGAAATCACTCTTTTGATCCCTTAAACTATTAAATTATTTATAAATTGGTCTCTATAGCTCAAAAATAAATAATAGGACTAATCTTTATCATTTGTAGATGGACCAAAACATCTCAGTCCTTCCACCTTTTTTTCTTTTTTTTCTTTTTGTAATATTTGAGATTTTTAAGAATTCAATTTATTTATCATATTTTGACAATAGTAAATGGCATAATAACAAAAAAAACCCTAATATTTGTCTAAATAGTCATTTTAGTCACTATTTTTTTGGAGCATTTTTTACTCCCAAAGTTTTATTTTAGGGCCAAAGCCTAAAAGATCTATAATGTTTGACTAAATAATCACTTTTATTCTTATTCTTTTTTTTTAACATTTTAACCCCAATATTTTATTTTTTTGGCAAAAAGGTCCCCAATTTGGATAATTTATTTACTAACAATTTTCATTCATAGAAGAATATTTTTGTCATTAAATAAAATATTACGATCAAAATACATAAAAATAGAGTCAAAATAATTATTTAATCAAATGTCACGTCATTATAAAGTTACCATATGATATAACCGGCAAAAGTGCCCAAATAATGTTGCGGGAATGTTTAATTCCCAAAACAAGGATGTCAGTCGATTAATTCCTCATATAGTGTATTTTCTACAGTACCTCTTAAAGTCCC